ACTATTTCACATATGCATAATTGTTAATTGATTAGGGCGGGAGGATTGTGGTTGGGTTGGGATGGTGTATGGGGGGTGAGGTGTGGGGTGGAAGGCGAGGGTCGTGGCGTTGGTGGGGGGGTTGGGAGGTGGTGTTTGAGGAGGGGTGGGGAGGGATGGGGTGAAGGGTGTGGTGTGGGTTTGGGTTGGTGGGTGTGGGGGGTTGTGTGTGTGTGGGGGGGTGGGTGGAGGATTAGAATGGGTGGGTTGTGAGGGATGGTGTGTTTGTGTGGGGGAGTTGGTTTTGGTGGGGTGTGTTTGTGTTGTTGGGTGTGTTGGTTTGTGAGGATTTGTTTGTTGGGGCGTGTTTTGTTGGTTTGTGTTGTTGGGGGGTGGCTGTATGGTTGGTTGCTGTTTTTTTTTTTTGTTTTTTTTTATTTGTGTTGATGTTTGGTGTTTTTGTGTTGTTTTTGTGTGGGTGGTTTGCTTGGTGTGTGGTCGGGTTGGTTTGGGGGCTGGTTAGTTTGGGTGGTGTTGTGAGGAGTGGCAGGAGGTTTGGGAGGAAGTGGGGTTGTGTGGAGGGCTGGTGTGAGGATGGGTGGGGGGGAGGTGGAGTTTGGGAGGGGGTTGTTGGGTGGGGTGGTGGTCGTTGTTATTGGGGGGAGTGGGAGGGTAGTTGTTTTCTTTGGTTGGGGTGTTCGTGATTGGTTGGGGGTGGATGGGGTGGGGGGTTTTTAGGAGAGTTCGAGTTTTGAGGAGTATTTGGTGTATTGGGGGTGGTGAGGTGTTGAGGGTTGGGCGGTGGTGTGGTGTGGTGGGTGGTGGGGTTTTGGTGTGGTGTGGTTGGGGGGGGGGTGTGTGGTGGGGGTGTGTTGGTGGGGATTGGGGGTGTGTTGTTGGGTGTTTGTGGTGGTGGTTGTGGTTTGAGTTTGGGTGTTTTGTGTTTTGTTTTTTGTGTTGTGTGGTGTGGTTGTGTTTGTTGATTTGGTGTTTCGGTGTGTGTGGGGTGTTTTGTGTGGGTTTTTTTTTTTTTTTTTTTGTTTTTTTTTTTTTTTTTTTTTTTTTTTTTTAGGATTATACTCAACCTAAAAGAAAAACATGAATAATACAAATGAATGTATCGCACATAAAAAGAAAAAATGTCAAGGGAAAAAATGCCTCCCTTTCAACATACTGCCTGTAAACTGTTCATCCAAATATTTCGAAAATGGTGCCAATTGTCTCTCTTCATACATGAAACTAAGCCCATTCAGAGTCACTTCCTTCCATATAAACATGGACAAAAACAAATTTGGACTAGGATAATCATAAAGAAATTGTTGATGCAAGAAAAATTATTGGAGAAGTTACTAAACTATGCATGGCAGGTGCCAACACCAATTTCTATATATATTGGGTTATAATTGGTAAAAACATATACTACAGTTTATCATAACTTCATTATTAGAATGACACCTTTCTATGATATGTAATAATTCTATATTTTTCTTTTATAAGGTACCTATATCAAAACTTTGTTAGCCCAAATGATAAGGCGTCTTTTTTATCACCCCCAATCACAACACATGAGCTCCCAATGAAAAGACAGAATGCAAAAAATAGTACTCTTTTTTTGATAATGGGGTGTGTGATTGATAAGTTTGTTCTTGGCACCTATAATTACCGGGGTAGGTAATACTTTACTTACAACGTATCAACAATGTATTATTTTTCAAAGTGAAGATGGACGAATTCTAATTTTGTTGATTCATTTCAAAGTGTAGCCAACATTGGTTTTGATAGGGACTTTTCAATCTAAACTCGAGATAATTCATTATTTGACCCAGTAGCGGGTAGACATTAATAGAGGCAAGATTTTGAAGAAAGAAATGTTTGAATGTAAGATATATGTGTTGTATACTTTTTTGACATAGTCGTATTATACTTTTAGTTTATGTTGTTCCTTATACATGCTTTAATTATGATTCACTAGGGGTATACAAACCTATCGAGCTCAAACAGGAAAACATGGTTTCAAATCTAAGTCAAACATATCAAGTGGACAACAATTTAAGGTAAATTACTCTAGTATGTTTGGGTGTAGTATAGTCTTGATTGTGATAATTAAATTGTGAAGAACTCATGGGACCTTTTAATTCACATATGGCTGATTGTATTTGTACTGGTTTAGGTGAATAAACTTGTATTGCTGGAATTATTTGAAGACTTATTTCCTTGTTGCATAGTAATGGTTAGAAATAACTGTATTATTGTGAAACTGGTTGGAGGAAAAGAGTATATGGTTGTTATGAAAGCATAACCTTTAATAGTTAAACTTGTATATGGTATATAGTTATTTGTTATTTGCACTGAACATGTTTGGAGTATACTACAGTTTTGAATCCTTTTATGTTCAAATTATAAAAATGCTTTTTAATTTTGAAATTCTAGTGCCCAAGACAACCCCAACGACAATTGTGGGTATTACGTGATGCCAATATATGAGGGAAATTATTAAATATTGTGAAGAGGAAAACAAATTCCAACGATGTAAGTTATCTTTAATCGTCATAATATTTGTAGTAATATTTAAATTAACTAATTCTATTATATTATTTCTCTTTCTTGCAGTTATTTTTCTAGGACGATGTCAACAATATCATGTTGAAAGTCAAATCATTTGAAGTTAGAGAAAGAAAATTGGGTATACATGAATTAGTACATGCCTTAGGTTGATGTTAAGGTGATGTTGATAGGGAGATATATGTTATGACATGTAATAGACGGACTCCTTAACATTAAATTTTGGAAATATTAGTGTACCAGAATGTGTTAGTCATATTAATGACATTCTTTTTGGACATTTGTCCTATTTTTCTGACATTTTAGATTTTTTTTGTATTATATACGATAATAGAACTAATATTTTATATTTATTCTAAAAATTTATATTTTTGAAAAAAAAATTTGAACCAATAGATGCGTTATTTTTTTAAAGAAGTGCCTATCTATTCTCAGCAAACAATAGATAGCGCTCTTTAAAGAAGCACATCTTTGGCAGCCACAATAGAATAGCGCTCTTTCAGAAGCACTATCTATGGCAAGACCACCAATAGATAGCGCTTCTTTAACAAGCGCTATCTTTGGTGGACTAACTAATTAATAGATAGCGGCTTACTTTTTTAAAACAAGCGCTATTCTATTGTGCTGAGGAATAGATAGCGCTGTTTTCTAGAAGCGCTTTATCTATTAATAAAAGGGGGGGGATAGCGCACGCATAGATAGCGCTTAAAAAAGCGCTATCTATGATAAAAAATAAGCGCTATCTATGTACTTTTTTGTAGTAGTTGACATTCTAAAAGGACCAAAAACAGGTTCACAGGAAACGTGAGAGTGGTGGGATGACAAATCAACTATTAAAGCAGGAACGTGAGCTTATGGGGTCAAAGCTAATGACATTAAAGAGGCGATTGCTGGGAGGCAAACCAAAAGTGATTTAGAACTTTGAAATTTACTTTGGTTTGTAAATTTTAAATCTCTTGAAACATTATAGTGCGGAACATAGCATTACGAAGGATGATAGTGGGGGGTACACCTATGATGGGTGTTGGGTAAGTTTGTAACACCTACTGATGGGTGTTGGTGAGATTGTAAAAACCTACTGATGGTGTTGTTGGTGGATTGTGGGTCAGGCTCGTGAGTTTAAAACAAGCGCTTACCGGGGAAGGGACAACCCAGTGATTGATTGTTTTGTTTGATTTATTTAGTAGGGTTGCATAAGTATTTTAAGCCTTGAATTGCGGGAAACCAGTGAGGGGCCATGTCTAGGAGGCACGTAGGTAAGAAAAGAAAAGAAGGGAACTTCACGGAAAGTGCGTTGAGCGGGTTGGTCCTCTCGCAAATGGGCTTTATTCCCTTAGCGGGCATCCCAAGCCCATTCGGGGTATTTTGAACACCCCGAAGCATGTGCAATTTGCTCATCTTCGGACCTTTCTGCACAAACACTCCCACATACCTTCTCCAAGGTTTTCCAATCTTTGCACGCTTCCATCTAAGAAAATTTCTATTCCACTCACGGTTTCATAGTGTGCCATCAAAGTTTGGGGTTGGAAGAGGGAGTATTAGATTGGAGCATTCTAATTGCATTATATCTCCACCCCAAGTAAGGATAAAATGATTTTGTTCATTCTAGGGTTCTTGATGTTGATGTGTGATTGTCAAAGCATGAATATTTAGGGGTTTTGATTTCTATGAATGATTTGATGATTATAATTGAGTTTGAACCGATTATTTTAATTTAAAGTACATGATGATGAAATGGAAAACGGAAAATTGAATTGGGGGGAGTTAGGACAACGTTAAAGGAAGATTTTCAAAATTCTGCCGAGTTACCCGCTGAGGGTAAACTGCGCTGAGCGGGGCACTCTGCCAGAATTGGTTTTTCTGGGAGTTTTTCGTTCTGGATTGTGGCAATGGTGGCGCTGAGGGGAAAATTCTGGCCCTCAGCGGGGTTTAGCTTCGAAAGGGAGTTATGTTCTGTGCTCTACTAATGATTTTAACTCATGTCTGTGGTTTTGTATTTGTGTTTGAATGGCAGGAAGGAATGCATCCTCTTCAGGGAAAGAAAGAGATTGAAAAACCATGGCAACCAAGAGGAAGGCAAAGGAACCAGAGCCAACCCCACCTAGTATGGTTCTCTTAGGAACAGAGAGCACTTTAGGGTGGTTCAATGGATAGGAGACTTCTGATGGATGAGAAAGGTTGGATGATACCTAACTTGCTCCTCATTGGAGAGCAGTGTTAGGAATGATTGGGGGGGAAAGCTAGCCACCTATCCTGCACCTGGACAAACATAGCTGTGGTAACAGAATTCTACACATGACCAAAAAGAAGATTGTGATTAATCCAGTGAGAATTATTTGGCTGTATGTCAGAGGCCAAAATATGTTCATAAATATGAATGAATACAATTGTATAAACATACCTCATCACTAATCTGTATGAAATTCATTGGCCATGCCACAAATGTACCTATTGCTTGTCCTATTGTCATCATGTCATCATCATCAATTGGTATAGGCAAGGATACATTTGGCTCCAAAGCAATATCTATACTAACTTTAACATGTCCCTTAGGTAGAGGTCTACCATGTAGTGTATCACTTTTAAAATTATGCAATTTTCCATGGGCAACCAAGCAAAGTGATGGTGATAATGTAAACAATTTACAACTTGAGACCCCCTACATTATAAAACATAATTATAAGACAATCTTCAATGTGATTCCTATGAAAGTTTAAAGTAAGAAAATTAAAATATATATGAAAGTAATGTAGATAAGTTAGTTACCTCGGGAAAACTATTTGATGACAATGTGCAACTCCCTTGGCCACTATTAATATTAGCTTCTTCAGTAGTATTTGGTGTGTCATTTTTTCGAAGCATCTCATTTTCCATTCGTGCAATTCTTTCCGACATGTCTTTCAATTGAGCAGTTAATTTATCATGCTCATGCTGCGTATGACGCTTTTTAGACGGGAAATAATCTCTATGACCGACTCCAAATCCCATTCCCCTAACACGACCTGGATACTCTGGGAGACATAAAGCTTGACTCAAAATGTCAGAGTGATCATTATTCATCTCTTCTGAATTAGTTTGTGACAATTGAACCTAAACAAGAACCAAACATATCACATTTATTGTCATTCCACACACAAATATAATATGAAAACATATTACTTACACATTTGTCCCAAACTTGTTGAGTTTCTTCATTTTCAATTGCCCCGCTTTTGTTCACACGACCATGCTTCCACAATTCTTGACGGGGAATGTTATTAACATTTGATCCCAATTCCTTTATCTAATTGTTGTAGAAAAGATCAAATTAGTTAGAAAATTGCAAGAGAATCAACATTTATTCATTTAATTCATTTTTCAAGAGCATTAAAAGCATTCCATGTATAGATTGGAAAGAGAATGAACATAAAGTTTCCACAGTAAAAAGACTACCATAATCTTATTAATTATACATATTCAATTATCTCCAACCTTTGTCATGGATATCATCATAATTGAATTCCAATTAATCAAATTATTGCCAAGTATAACAGACCATAACCCCTGTCTACTCCTAATCACGCTTTGACATTCTAACACAACCACCAATCCAATAAATATAATTAACCACTCTGCACTATAGTTACACGGCCTCTACAATATAAAGCAAAGCCAGTAATAAGTTCCCGTCATAACAAACATAACACATATATAGTATACGCAGTATTCCAAATAGAAAAGTTTATAGCAACTTTCTAGCATATATTACGTTATAATATTTTATATTCAAATCCCAAACGAATAAAAAAAATGATTTTAGCATGTTGTATAATATATAATATATAAAATATAATATATTATAACCTAGTGTACCAATCATGGCCAACAACATACAATAATAAACTTTATGCCCTGCACACACTTAACCAATTAATACACCCAATTATATTTCTACCCTTCAAGCACTTATAAAACACCAAAAATTACTTTAAGCATAAAAATTGCCACTGCATACACCATTTTCCAAATTCCACTCTCCACACCATGCGTCATTTTTCCAGAACTTGTATGCACTAAAATATTATTACTAATTTATAAAAAAACATCATAACCATATATCCATTTCCTGCGTCAACTTCTAAAACATGTGCAAGGGGCTTAAACATTTATATCAATTATGCTCTTAATATTTAAGATCAAACAAGCATAAAATTTCACTGAATTCGTCAACAATCATGCATAAGCAGCTTCTGAAATTTTCCTTTCAAAACTAAATCATCATACTAACAAGTTTCTCTTCCTCATGCCCTTAGCCTAGGGTTTTCAATAAAAGAAGAAGAAAGGAGAAGAGAGAATGGTCGAGAGAATGGAAGAAAGAAAGAATGGAGCTGTCCACTCATGACCCTGTCTGACCTAAGTGGATTATGGGCTTCTTAATTTGGCCCAAAAACAAGTTTGATGCAATAATAAAAAAAAACACAGTAGAAATAAAATAATTCAATTTTGTTGTCAAGCATCGACTATAATTTCCAATAAATTCAATCACCATCTTGAAGTATTTAGAGAGCACAATGTTGAAAGGGATTTCCTTCCTATAATAATCACTCCAAGGTGTCATGCCATGCATGGTCAAAATTGAAAACAACTTGCCCTGTTTCACCTTAATCCCTAAAACTCTTTACTACTAAGGAGGGTTCCTTCACTAAAAAAGAATTATTGTTTACAAAAATGCTCAAGACACATGAGAAAGAGAAAACTCACCATAGATGCCCTATATAATGTATGTAGGAATTAAAAGAATAGGACATTGATCCAAGTTGAATGATATTTATAAGGTGGTTGATAGTTT